CTTGCATCGTGAGTGTAAAAGCGGAGGCGAAATGGTTCACACACCCCGGGGATTTCCTACCTCGGCAGGAAATTGGAATTACTGAGGGCGCACAATCAACCGCACCACATGTTCCCCTTGTTGGAGTAAAACGCCACCCGCTTTGGCGCTCTTGTACCGCGCTATATCAGGAACGCTGTTCCACACTAGGGCATTCAAATGAAGTCGCTCTTATAAACGGCTAAGTGCTGGCACATTTCATGGAACCACCACTTGGAAGTTGAAGAGGGCGTTGCTAAGTGAACATGGCTGGCTCTGTTCGTGTAATTAGCATAGTTGTGCTCAGTAAATGGCTCAATAAAGAGCAGGTGGTGGGAATTTTCGATTGGCCGGCCGTCTCTAGTCGGCTCGGGATTTTGTGGTCGTCGATGGGGTCGTCGTCGTGCCGCGCCGCGGGCCTGACGCGCCAATGCACCCACCTCGCAGCAGTGCTGGGGGAGCGCCAGCAAACCAGTCCAGTCTATTTTCGTTGTGACCACTGCTTCCAGAAAAGCTTGCCAAACTTGTCTGCCAGTGAATAATAAGCTGCATGAGTCAGATGGAAATTTATAGGCTGTTGCTTTTGTTTCTTCATCGATTCCCAGGAACGGACACGTTTTTAATTGCTGCTTTGTTTTTTGTTTACTGCGCTTCACCAAACAAAGTTTTCTCGGCTATTTGTTGGAAAAGGTCCATTATGCTTATTACGCTTTTCATTTTGTCATTCATAAGAGTTCATTCACCAGTGATGTACCCGTAAAAGTCTATGAATCATTGCTCTTATCACCGCCGGTGATGTTTGCGGCATGTTTCATTAGTCGGACGGTGTATCGCTTTTATCAGTTCTTATCGTCATAACCCACACACGGGCAGTTTTTCACTAATCCCTGAAGCCAGTTATTTTCACTGTTCTCAAATTCTAAGGCGGAACTTGCAAAAAATGTTACCTTATTGATTCTAAACTAAGGTTTGGCGCAATCGCAAGATACGGGGCATTGTAGTGGCGATGTATCAACCAAATAAAACATCTTCTTTTTGTTGAAAACAGCACCAAGTTCTTAGGCGAGGGGGCGCAATGTGGCTCGGGGGGGGCACCTCGCAACATCGCGTCAAAATCACGGAAACGCTCCGTTTTAGGACTAAGCTTTTGAAGAGGAGTGTACGGAAGCAATTTTCGTATTCTCCGGAGTTCGTCCCTGCTGTTTAGGCTTAGTCCTAGATGACTTTTCTCAGAGTGCCCCCCCGAGCCACATTGCGCCCTATAATGTAATATATATCCTACTATATCATTGGGCTAAGCGGTTGTGTGTGGAAAACTCAGGGCGCGTGAGCAATTTTCATTCAGTCCGAATTTCCTGACCCCTCGTGGGCATGCGAAACCACCTCATATTTTAACATTATGTTCTATAATTGTTTATTGTTTTTGTTTTGTTATCTCCTAGAGATTGCCTCCGTATGTCATGATAGCGCCCAAGGTTTTACAGAACGATTTATGACACTGTGGTTTAAGATGTGCCATCCCTCTCCAGTTGACTGCATGAGTGCTCTATTTGGGTCTCATCCAGTAAGGGGGGCATGTGGTGCGACAGTTCATATTGCATGAAGTAATCCACTTTTTCAGGGAGGGAAGCTCCGGGGTGGGTGTAAAAGTTTAAGCGAAATGGTTCACGCACCCCGGGGTTCCCTCCCTTGCAAAAATTGGAATTTCTGTAGCCGACAAGAACTGTCACACCACATGCTTTCTGGATGAGACCATTTTTTTCTCTATTTTATTCATGTAACTTTCCATTGCTGTTAGTGGCGGTGTTCGGGACAATTTTTGCGAGGAATGTCAAGGCCTTTATAGGCGTTCACGTTATTGTTATCGCCTTTCACAGGATTTCATGAATTCTAATGAGCAGAAGAATAGTCATACGAATAGTTGTAAACATGTTAACGTAGCTATGAAACAGCTGTGAACTTTCCACAGCAAACATGTGTCACTATTTGTCATATGGAATCGATCGATCATATGGCATAGATTCGAATGGTTTTATTTTTTGAGTGATTAAGCAGTAGTGCTTTTCTTAGAAAATATCGGAACATTTTCGCAGGTGTTGTTATTCGTTGCGGTTGTTCCTCGCATAAAAAAACCGTATATGACGGGCGTCGGCGCTTCCCGACGATTTGCAAAACCGGCTCAGTTTGGGGTCATTTTGTGTGATGCGTGTCCGTGTATGGAAAAATTCACGAATTCAATCTGCACGGGGATGGGTGATGGGAAATCTGGTTTGTGGACAGCATGCGTGGATCATGCGTAACCCTTCACTGGGGCCGTCGTCGCAGTTGTCGTCGTCGTGGTCGTGACGTACTCCATATTGACTGACAATAGTTCTGTGTTGACCAAGCGCCGTCATTGATGACGACGATTCACGCAGTGAAACTACTCGCCATAAATCGGGAATCAGTCGAGGTTTTGGCCGGGTGAATCGATTATTGAAATTGAGTCACCTGAGTCGTCGGTTTTGTGCGAAGCATCACTGCACGAGCGAAGAGCCCACCATTTCCATCACCGGCAAACACCAATACCCAGCCACGAACAGCAGCGGCACCCCCGAACACAGGCACCGACACACTCACTTCCATGCCGGGTTGTCGTGGCGGCGGCATTCGGTGGTTGCAAATCGATGGTGTTCAGAAAAAGAAAAAAGCTGAAGAGGTCAGCCCATTTTTCTCGCTTCTTTTCATCTTTCTCTACTTTTCCTCATGCGTTCAGCGACATGTGTCAACAAAGTTCTCCTGCAAATTGTAAAACGTTCTATCGACATTTCTTTTTTTCTGCATTTGACGCGATTGTCCGGTCCGCGTTCATCACGTTTGACTGCCGTTATTTATTGAGCGAGTCTTTCCTTTTTTACTGGGATAAATCGGTCAAGTTAGTCGAGTGTGTCCTGATAATATATTATGTTAAGGGATTTTCAAACACCACACATGTCGTCGTCATCAGGAGGACTTGCTCCTGGCGATGTGACGGCACCGAATCCACTACATAATACGAGTAAATATAAGGTGTATGTACAAGCAGTCGATCGTGCTCTGAAGACCTTTGAAAATCCTAACGAATGGGCTGATCTCATTTCAGCACTTGCCAAACTAGCCAAGGTATGTGACGTCATTATTTTTTTTTCATTTTACGGATCATTACCATGAGAAATGTCGAGTTCTTTCTATGGGAGGCGCAATCCCAAGACACGAGATTGTCTAATAACAAAATTACTACCTGCAATTACATTTTTCACCTGTGTTTTGCTGTATCTTTCTCTTGAGGAAGGGACGAATTATTTCTTATCAGCGTATTATTGCTAGTTAAATAGAGTAGGGCGAACAATTGTGAAGCAACTGATTTCATGTTTTGCTGTTCAGGTGTTCCAATCTAATGCCAAGTTCGGAGACATTCCTAAACCCGTTACTGTCGCCAAGCGATTATCACAGTGCCTTCATCCTGCTCTACCAATGGGTAAAGATTTGAAGAGTTCGCAGGGTTTGTTCCCCTTGTCCTATATTTTCTATATTTCCAGAGTGTGTACATTTGAAAGCGCTTCGAAACATATGTGGCGTCAACAATATTGAAATTCTTGGTCAACAGACCTAGCCCAATTGCCACTTTACGGTTTGTTGCTGTCGCGTCTTTTCCACTTATGGATCATTGCGGTAAAAAGTGCGGTCAATTTTCTTCGAATTTATTTGTTTCTTCGGTTAGGTGGTGTGCTAGCTATTATACGCAACACGAAACGTCGTTGTACTGATATAGGCTTAATCTGAATTTCAACATTTTCGAACACTACCTTCTTCCTCTGGGTCAAAATCTAAAACCGGCTTTGCCAGGCTTTTTTGCTGGAGTGTTGTTGGGTCTGGAAGAAGGCACAGAATTCTATGAGAGGTATGAGTTCTCTTGTGTCATTCATTCATTTCCCATTTTCCAAAAACATTTTCTCGGACCACGGAGCATCTAGTGATTCCGTTTTTTGTTTACCAGCAAGTTGTCGCATACGATTGAATATTCGACTTTAGTGAGGAAGTAAACTAACTTGGGTTTCTCTAATTCTCTACTGAGCGCGGATTTGACTCGCCCAATTTAATTTGGCCCAGTGTTTCGATTGAGTTGTGCTTTTGGGAAACCTAATCTGGTGCGGGCTCATTTAGTGTCTGTGTTTACCTATTCCTCACCTCAGTGTACTCTCCTTATATCACAAGGATTTGCAAGATAACGAAGAAAATCCAGGTCATATGGCGAAAGACGAATTTCAGCGTCAATAAAATTTGTATCTGCAGAAGTACTAACTGTTATTATCTTCACTGGGTGGATAGTTTTTATGGATGCGCTGGGAGTTGTAATCAGCACGTAGATTTTATTGCCTCTCAAGCCGATTTCGGCGTTTCAGGGAGTGTCAAACGCAAAGCATCAATGTGTGGATTTGAATTAGATTTTTTGGGGCGGTCTAAATGTTCTGTTTCCCTGATCAGGTTGTTACATCATACTTGTCTTGGAATGTCAGTGAGCAGTTGATCTGTAACTTTATATTGGAATTTTATGGGCGGTTGTGTCGTTATTGTTGAGATTTAAAGTATAGACAAAGTGGAGACCACGTCAGACTTTTCCTTCCACCGAAAGTAATTGTCTGCAGATGTTTGATCGAAAAGGGATTTGCCTCCGTCCATCACCAAGAGAGAACAAGAGGGAAGATAGGCAAACTGATGTGAAGGTGAACCTACTGCTGCTGTAGAGATTATGTAATAGTAAGATAGGTGATCATGCAAATAAGGAAATAACAGCAGGGTTGAATGTGAAAGTTTCATGCATATGATAGAAGGTTAATCTCAATTCCAGGTCGCTATCCGTACTCGATCGTGTTTGTGAGGGTGTTGGCGAGCGTGCGTTTTTTGCATGCCTTTGGCAGGCCGTCCTGGGATCTCCATCTGTACGACTTCCAGCGATGCTCTACGTAAACGCAAAATTCGACAAGACGCGAACGCTCGATGATCAAATCGCAATTGTTGGTGACCACGTGAATCACATGGTAGGGTGGTTTTGTTGTTACTTATGATTCTGCCACACTTAGTAACGTGTCTTTTGCTTATTTGGATTGAATAAATTCCAGGTTGCCGCTCTCTGTGCTACCGCCAGCGATTCCGGTTCGCCGTTGGTTCAGCGGAATTTGTTGGATTTCTTGTGTGCAGCGTTTCCTCTAGACAGCACCAATTTAACAAGGGAAGATTTCGTACAGGTGAGTTTTTTTTTCAGTTTTGCTCAGCTATTTGAGGCTCGGCCAGCATAAGTAATATTTTCAGTTACTAATGCGATGTATTTTCGTTGTGTTACGACGTGATATGTCTCTAAACCGGCGTCTTTACACCTGGTTAATGAACCCAACTGGTATGTTAAGCTTTCTTCAGTTTTTTTTAGATACATTGTTATTTCAGTCATTCTCCTCTCTCTTTTTTTTCTAAAATATAACTGACAGTAATATTACTGGCTTATATGCGGAACGTGGCATTCTTGAGATGATTTTACTGCAACAGTGCATGAATTTATTCCCAGATATGTTCACGAACCGCACCAACATCCTGCGCGCGACCAGTCGCTGCGATTCCTTTGTCGTGTTCATTTCTCCCTTCGGTTAATCTCCATCCTCTTATGCTTTTTTTCATAGCTTTTATGTCCGCTTTTATTCCGGACAGATGTTCTCGGGCTTTACTTGCCATGTCTTCGCTAACACAGGCTGCAAAAGCTGAAATTAGTCACAAGCCGATTTCGAAATTTTTACGATTTTCCTCTTGGAGGCATCTCCACACAATCCCCTCCACCATCCACCACCACCACCACCAGCCTCAGAGAGGTCTCTAACACGACCCTATCGTTACCCTCACCACCACGGCTCTTTCCATAGTACATTATTCTGGACCAGACATTTCAACTTGGTCCCAAAACTGCCTTTGACCGGTGTAGAGTGGTCAGTATAACAAAAAAAAACGACAGTTGGGTTAAATTTGCTCATAGCATGTTTTTTCTTCTGAAAAATTCGTCAAAATTGTAATGAAAACCGTCAAAAACGAACCAATTCCTTCAAAGGCACGCGACCACTCAACTTCGCCGCTGTCAGCCTTCTGAATCTCTTATTCCTCCCCCGCCCCCACCACCACCACCCCACTACCACCACCACAATATCAATTCACAGAAGGCAAATTAAATTTCCTCCGTAAATCCGAAATACGACACCGCTTGGTTTTGCTCGACGTATACTTGGCCTTAACTGCAGCCCCTTTTCAGGAGGAAACGTAGCTATCAGTAGCATTCCTGTTGGCGATGAGGGAGTGGAGTCGACGTTCTTCAATGACAAAGTTCTGCCGCTCATTGTGGAAGCGCTGACTGAATACCTTAAGCTCGATATAATCGAAATTCCTCAGTCCTCATCGAATGCATGGGCGCATGGTTGGGGAGGACAGCGGGTATTGTTAAATCTTGCTTAATCTTCTGTATCAATTTATAGCCTATTAAAAACATTAAAGCTTATTTGTATCTATATCTTACGAATGGCTCATTTAGGAAAGTGAGCAGCATCAATTTGCTGAAGTACGAGTTTGCCGCTTGTTGCTTTATCTTCAAGATCGCGCTGACATTGGTGGACCCGTTCTCAACAAAGTTTTCCCGCTGTTTCTGGTGTGTGTATCAAACGTCCATGAGCGGTTAACGACTGAAAGTGTTCAGGTCAAAAGAATGTGAGTTTGTTCCATTAATTGTCATCCCGTTTACCATCATATGGACCTGTAGGTGGAGTGTTTATATGCTGATTATTGATATCAGTCGAAAATTCCTTCAGAAGGATGCAGATAATAGTTTGGATCGTAATCACCTTACGGATTATCGTTTGACCTGAAGAAGAGCCCCGTCCAATTCCCGTTTTTTGAGTGGTGATAATGAAGCCGACAAAACGAAGGAGCAGGTTAGCTTCCGTTATAATAAGTTACTATGAACGGTTAGAATGCTTTCGCAAAACGCAGACCTCGGTCAGACTCGGCGATTGCGTCGCTGGACACCAGCGACGGAGCCGCCAGCGACGGAGCCGCCAGCGACGGAGCCGCCAGCGACGGAGCCGCCAGCGACGGAGCCGCCAGCGACGGAGCCGCCAGCGACGGAGCCGCCAGCGACGGAGCCGCCAGCGACGGAGCCGCCAGCGACGGAGCCGCCAGCGACGGAGCCGCCAGCGACGGAGCCGCCAGCGACGGAGCCGCCAGCCACAAGAGTGGGCAACGGGCGATGACTCATCACACGATCGATATCGGTTGGCAGGGGGGAGATTAACCCTTTGACGACAATGCGGATTTGGATTTTTGACTTTACCAATAGACAAAATGTAACTACAGATGAGAGCTTTCATAGTACACATTGTTGGGAAACGAATTGAACGTTTGGAAGGCTAACTCGGATTTCAAAGGGATGGTGGTTAAAAACTCTAGAAGTTCATACGTACAAAAGTATTTTGATATAGTTCAAACTCCTCATTGTGTCTTAAAACTATGAAAAGACTTAGAGGTCCTGATCGCTAATTTACCTTAAGCTTAATTATGTAAAAGACTAGTTATTATGTCGCCGAGCGAAGTGCCACATTCCAAAATTTCATACAAATTAGTAGTGTGATCGATCGATCGTGTGATGAGTCATCGCCCGTTGCCCACTCTTGTGGCTGGCGGCTCCGTCGCTGGCGGCTCCGTCGCTGGCGGCTCCGTCGCTGGCGGCTCCGTCGCTGGCGGCTCCGTCGCTGGCGGCTCCGTCGCTGGCGGCTCCGTCGCTGGCGGCTCCGTCGCTGGCGGGCGGCTCCGTCGCTGGCGGCTCCGTCGCTGGCGGCTCCGTCGCTGGCGGCTCCGTCGCTGGCGGCTCCGTCGCTGGCGGCTCCGTCGCTGGCGGCTCCGTCGCTGGCGGCTCCGTCGCGGGGCGGCCCGTTCGACGCAATCGCCGCGTCTGACCGAGGTTGAATCTCCCACGACCTGGAGCACAGTCTTGTTTTCGGAACTTCTCGCAACTTTGCCCTTTCTTTCTATTTCAGAAGCGTTCTTTACACCGCGTGGTGAATGAGTGTTTTACAAGTTTATCGATTCATTCGACCTTTTGAATCTGTGAAAGGCAGCCTTCTCTTCTGCGTCGTCGCTGTTCTTATGTCGATCGGCTCTTTCCATGTTTAGTCCTAATGCATGAGTGGTAGGGCAAAGTGGCAATGGTTTATGGCTCCGTGAAAGGTGGTGTGTCAGTGCAATAGGACCTCGGCCCCCCCGATGCGAGAAGAGCTTCAATATTGTTCACCCGGCGACCCTGACGCGTTATGAGAAGTATATTTAACAGTTGCAGTTTCCCCGGAACGCGTGCGATGTAAAGATATCCAAGACTTTTAACCTCTGCTGAATTCGCGAACGGGATTCTCGTTTGATTCTGGGTAAGTTGGTTCACCCGAACTTGTCCGTACAAATGATCCATGTTCTGAGGACATATCACAGTTTGCAAAGGTACCTTTTTGTAGTTTATTTTTCTTGTGCAGTCTATGGGCCAGTTTATTTTCGTTGAAAACGGTCGTTTCATGTCAAAGGAGTCCTATATTGCCTATATTGTTAACCGTATTACATTCCAATTTCTAGGTCGTGACATTCTGTCTGGATACGTGTAATCTCGACGGGGACCCGTATTTTACCGTGCTGCCAATTTCTTGCCAAATGTTGCGAACGATACTCAGTGTGTCTTCATTACCGACCAAAAACTAGTCTCTCCCGCCCTTTTCTTGGAATATTCCAGCTTGCTGATGGTCAATTATGTTTTTCTGACTTGAATCGTAAATCACTTGTTCGCAGTGATGCACACTTTGTTTTCAGATTATCGAAGTTTGCACCAGGTTACTCGGAGAGATATCTCAAGGCGGAGCATTTGAACCCAGTGGTGTGTTTCGTTCCTTGTTGAGAATAATGCGTTTGGCTGCAGTCATATATGCTACAGCTTTGCAAAGTTTGAATATAGAGGTAGAACAAGAGTCGTGCGATCTTGTGAAAGACACGTATCTAGGCAATCGAACTGCAAGGCAGTCGCAAAGTATATTTGTTTCGTCACTTTATGTTGGATTTCGGTCCATTTCATACCTTTCAGTGCACAACCGATGAGTTGTCAGAAGGGGTCAAGGCATGTCGAATCTCGGAAGCATGGCCGAGCCAGCCTGTAAGAGTTGAATCGATGATGTCAGGCCCGTATTTCACGCCTTTATTCTTTACCCAAAATCGCCTGATAAAAATTACTGTCGACAAGGCCCCCGTTTTTGAAGTAGATTTACAGTACCATTCAGTTTTTTTTTGGGAATAACAGTGGTGTACGAAGATTTTGGTTTCAGATCAAGCGCTTGTTGAACTGTGCGTTAACGAATGCCTCATGCTGCTTTCATGGGTTTCGCAAATCTACTATACATCTCGGTCGAGTAATCGCCTTCTTTTACTCTCTTCTGTGTGCAATCTCACCTCACAGTGTTCGTGGATCTATCCCGCGTCTACTGTTTTTCAACCTTCATGAGCATCCACAGCAGTTCCTAAACTGCCCGTGTTGCTTCGAAGAGCTTTCTTGCAAGGGTCGTAGGAGTGCCTCTTGCATTCATCTTGAACGCATATCACGTCTTCGATGCCAGCTTGTGTTTTAAGTGTCGTCAGATGCTGCTGCCTGGGTACATTACAAATCAGTCTTATCACCAATCGCAGGTTTATGTTCGCCGCGTTAGCTATAGCCTTTGAAAATATCTCTGCAGTGTGAAGTAGTCAGTGTTGCCTTTCGTGTTGAGATTGAAATTCGTCAGTCTTAATATACTTCCAGGCGGTTATGTAGTTATCCATTTTCTGCTCGATTGCTATATAAGCACGTCTTACAGGGAATTATGCTTGCATTGTTTGTTTTTATGTCTTTCTAATCTCCTATCAGTTCATTCCGCCGCTTCGGGATCTAATCAGCGTGAGACCACCGCATTTGATTTGATTACTTTTGCGATGCTACTTGACGATGTTCGTTCATGACTCGCAACTATTGTGCATTGATGCTTGGCAGAGTGACGATGTCCGAAGGTTCTGCGCTGTTGCTTACGATGTTATGGTTGTGTATGTCTTTTCGTTTTTTTTTCGTATACACCATGCGGCTTGAGGAAAAAGGTGATCATTTTTTTTCGCGCCAGAGAGACCAGGACTTTTGATATAAACCACGGACATGAGTGCATTCTTTGGTGTCCAATGTTCGTTATTATTTCTAGAGGTGAAGGTATCCACCCAACAACAGTGTTGTTGAAGCCGTTGCTGTTCGCGCAGCAACTCCATCAGTTGGAGCGAGAACGAGTTTTTGAGGTGAGTCACGCAATCGGTTAACTCGATTTTTATGATACGCCGTATAGATTTAATGAAGAGGGAACTTTCAGCGCTGCGGACTAGCAGTATGGCGAGGGCTTGGTTCTTCGCAGTGCTCGCAAGAGCACGAGCGGCTAGCTCGATTAATGGCACTGTTGCACTCACGAAGACCCAACGAACCAAGCAGCGATATGGAACACATAATAGTTTCTGCACTGACCAGCAGCGATGCGGTAACATTTGCTTCATGGTCTATTGTTTGTGACGACTTTTATGCTGGGGTCACGCGTGAAACGACGTAGCGTTTTATGTACACCACATCAGAAACAGCTCTATTTTCTCGAAATTGTCATTTAAAGCCTTAGAGGGTCCTGTTTCGGAAAGCTTGAAGCAATGAATATGTAGAATATCCAGAACTAGGAAATTCACTGCGAAAGCAGTATTTGGAACATTTTATGATTTTGATATGTATGCTTCGAGGCTCATGTTGAATGGCTTTATGCTGCATTCCACGGCCGGGGTGACGATGAAGTTGTTTCAAATTTTAATTTAATTTCCCCGCTGGGGGTGCTTCAAAAAGAGGATTGTGTGTAACAATGTGTGGATATCGAAATAAGGCAGGGCGGCTATCAGCGATCGCATGAAAAATCAAATTTCGGGTGGTTTTCTCCTAGTTTTTTTTGGGGGGAGGGAGTGTTGCAGCGTACGGCATCAGAATCTGCTCTGATGTTTAGTTACAAAATAATTTATTATTTTAGATGATCAGTGCAGAAGCTGCTCAGACATTCCATCGCATGTGGATGTTGACACGTACAGGGGATGAACAGCCTCCATTGTGTTCGAAGCCTTTCAACAGGTATGATTCCTTCTATTGTTAATTCCTAAGATCCATTGGTTTTGTGGTGCAAAAATTGTGATGTACTGGTTATTGTTTAACAACATGGTGACTGTTAATATCTCATATAGAGAATAATCGAAGGTGTATTAGCCAATGGTTTTGCTTTCAGAGCGGTTATGTTGCTACTGGGAGTGTTGGCTGATGAGTCTGTGTCACGAGCTCGAACCGAACTGAAGAGTGCTGCTGCCGCATGGTTCATTGACTGTGCCAAGCATAATGATCTCCCAAGAATCGTGCAGGTGAGCAGAGGCAGGCAATTGAGTTCAGGGAGTATGCGTTTTCTCGTTACTCGTTTGCATTTGATCTTTGTAGATGCTCGCAACGATGCTGATGAATCCAGTCACGGCTCGAATTTCAATCCAATATGTCTGGCAAGAAGCAAGGTAGTGGTTTCAGATTTGAGTAGCCATGATTCGCGCAAAGTGTCACATGTTTTTTAGGTTGACTAAGGATCAGTTTGCGTCGATGCCATCGGATGTCTCCGTAGTGACTTTGGTAACGTCAGATGGAAAACAACGACTATATCACTTTGATGGTCCGGTGACAGACGGGTTAGTTTTTTCTGTGATAATATGCCCTGAAAGGTAGAGCCTGCTGAAAACCTTGAACGTTGTTGCCACCACCTGTACTGCCCTCGTTCCCTCTCTCTGATAGTGTAAATCAACAATTCTCTGCGACTTCCAATGGCTCTGTAGAATCTGCATAAAGCACAAAAAGGTTTTTTTTCTAATTCATCTTCCAATGAGGAGTACTTCTGCGCGTCTCAATTTCACCCGATTTTGGCTAGTTTTTTTTCGATTTATCTGGCATTTTTCATATTTCAAACAGTGTGCATGCATTATCTTATCCGAAAAACTGTGCATCAATTCACCAGTAGTGGAATTATTGAAGAAGTTATGACGATTGTGAAAAAATAAACAAAAAGGTGCCGAGGTACACGCACAAGGGGCTGTCGTCAATGTGTTGAAGCAGCAACCTCAAATGAATTCATATCTTAGCTAATAATGGAATGAGAAGATGTGTGAGCCCTAGTCTAGAGCATATTAAGTGTCGCTGAAGCAAACAATCACTTTAGAAACCGCCTAGAGGCCTTGAATAGTTGTGCCGTCCGCCTTTTCTTTGACCCGCCCATCAGAAAAATGCTGCACTTTTTTGATTTGTTTTATTGCTTAGATCGTTTGATTGTCGTACCCCTTGTCTGTATTGGTGCATATGTATTGCAGTTGCATTTCTTGTTGACATGAACCCAGCAATAAATGTCATCGAAGCGATTTAGTTCGCACAGTTCTTCCGGCCACACCACCTCAGGCCTATTTCACGGGTTTTTTAAGGGCTTCATTGGCGGTTTGTTTTGTTTCCTTTGTCATTTTTGGTCAACTCGGCATTTATAATACAACTTTATTATCGACCGCTACTACTCCGCCCTTTCCATCTGGGGTTGTGATCTTTAATTGCAACTTTTATTTTCCTTCTTTTAAATATCACTACACATAAATAGTTGACTCTGTGTAGAAGGGGTCGGTCCACTGGTGGCTCTACGATTACTGTAATTGCATTACGTATAACAAATAGTTGCTCGTGCTACTTTTTAACTCATTTTTCCCCGATACCAAGCCCTGAAGAACAGATCGGTAGTCAGAAAATCCAGCAAAGCTTTTTGAGCAAGTAAAAGTTTTTGCTTCTGCTGAACGACATTAGACCTTGTAATCTTACTGTTCAAGGGTTATCATGCGACTGCGTTGCTTTCAGATCCTAAGCCTTGTAAACTGATTCGTATTATATATTTGTCCGCGTACGGTGGATTGAGCGTACTCTTTTGAAAGCGGAGTGTCAGCACTTCAGCAGGATACTGTAATGTCTGTAGCAAATATTGTAAATTTTGCAGGGCTTGGCAGAGCGATTTACGGAATCGCCTTCTCTTGTCTTCTGAAGCAGATCCTTCTGATTCAGAGCAAGGTGTTTCTACGTGTGTCGCTCCTGGTGGAGATATCCCAAACTTCGATGATGACACAGTATGTGAAATAATTTGGAGTGGTCATTTAGAAATCAATTGTTATGGAATTCATTTCATTAATGACCGTTAAACATCACTTCAAGGATTCTCTTGACACGCTTTCGATCTCCATGGATGGTGTTGAAGCTGGCGTTGTGGAAACGCTACAGTACCTGATTGACTGTGTTGTGGAGGAGGAAGACAGCGAACTCGATCATCAGCACCGACTAGAATCTGCTCTGGCCAATGCTCCTCCAGAGGGAGGAGCTGTGATCTTTAGGTAAGGTTCAGCTGATTGTTTTTCTAACTGAGTTTCACTTTTTGAGCAACAAAACACGCAGCGAAGTTTTTTCTAAGACCCTCTTACAACAAATACTCCATCGCTTCCGAGGGAAAAATGAGCAATTTTCTGAATGCAGCTTTTGTTACTATACTTACATAATGAAACAGAGTCACCTCAATTAAAGAGGAGGTTGGTCTCCTTGATTACGTTTGCACTAGAGCGATGTTATGCTGCGCATACTTGTATCCACGATTTGGAATTTTTTTAGAGCTGATGAGGAGTCTGAGGCGGAGCGGTCTTCCTCAATATCCGCAAGCACAGCACGGCCTCGGCATGAAAGCGGCGAGCGACCGGCACCGATCGTCAGTGATCCAGTCGCCCGGTAAGGAAGTTACTGTAGATCATTCCTACTCAAGGTCAGAAACCTGTTCTTATTCGGGGGATTTTCCATGTAACTTTTTACGTTGTTGTGCTGTTTGATATCTGTAATTTGCAGGTTCAAGAAGGGGCACCGTCGGCAAGATTCTCTTCAGGAGAGCATATTCAGCATGACAGAAAAGGATCTCAAGTTAGTACCTAATGAAGTTGTCCCTATGCTTCACGAAAACTAGTTCGTAGTTTTGTCACTCACAGCGTATGTCCATCAGTAAGAAAGCTTAATTCAGAACTTTCGATACAACTGAGCTCTTACGACCGTCAGTGGAAGGTGGTGTAGACGGAGTCAGTCTTTTCCACGAGTTGCATGTTCACATGCTGTTGTACGGGGAAAGTGGACGTGTTGTGGATTTGGGTCGAGCCGAAACCGCCTTTCGTATACTAACTGCCTTGTTATGTCCCAGAGGTTCTCCTGTAACGAATCGTATGCTTTTGAGGTAATACTGATTTTCTTAGTCAGGCCAATTTGGTTTTGATTTGTTTTTTTTAGTTGCTTAGTCTCTTCTGGAACTGCCTCTCAGAATGGAGAAAGCATTGGTACTAGTTCCACATTGACAGTGTCACTAGTTGATTTGATGGCGAAGCACGTTCGAGCCATACTCGGACAACATTTCTGGGGTGTCACTGGCGAAGAAGATGTCTCCAAACAACGGCATCTCACGCTGTTAGAGCTTCTGATCACGGTAGAGGTTTTTCACTACTTCGCTATTTCTGGGAGATCATTTCTCAATGCTTGCAGATCTCGCTGCACTTCCTGCGATCATTCTTCTTGAACTCACCGATCTGTCCTGTCACCCAGTCGGATTTGGTGATGGCCTGGAAGTGCAAAGTAATTCAGTTGTGAAAGATATTCTTGAAATAATTTTGTCGGCAAAAGGGGAAAACTATCAGTTTTTTCCCTCTGTATTTTCGACCTTCATTGTTTTAATTTTCAGATAGCAGCGCTTGACTTCTTGTCAGAACTACTGGGAGAGCTTAGTGGTATGATTTGTGAGCAGCAATCGCGACCATTTGTTACGTTCGTTCAATCTGTTCTGTCAAGATCGAAATTACAAAAGTGTCTATTACATCTGCTGCTCACGGCGGTTCACGATCCAAGGACCAGTGCAGAAGCAGGACAAGTGTAAGTGGTGTTATCAGTTGCTACTTATGTAGTATTGTATTATTCATATCCATATTTTAATGGGTTCAAGAAATATTTTTATGTTTAAGAATGCCTCTGTCTGTGTCGATTGCTGAGTTCAACGAAGGTGGATCATCCAACATGGGAAGCAAATTAGCAGGGCTTTTGTCAGCATACAATCGCTCACTGTTAGGTGTTACTGCCCAAGCGATTCGTCTTGAGAGCGACATCAAGAATGGATACTCCTCATTTGGAGACGTGGTATTGTTTCATTTTTATGGTAACTTTTATCCTCTTAAATGCTATGCCGGCTTATTTTTTTCCTTGTTGCAGTACATTATTTCACATTTTTTCTATAACTAGGAGTTTCATTTTTTTGGTACGAAGATTTGCTCTTATGGTTAGTCCTTGTCAAAAGCTTCCAGGAGAGGTGAAGCTAGAGGTGCGGGCTCGATTCCAGCCGGAGGGGGGGGGGGCGAAACTTTTGCTCATAACTCAGCATTCTTATGAAACATTCACAACAGAACTGGGGCGTAAAACAACAGATAAATAACAAACAAAACTGATCAAAAATTATAATTTCAGCAGTTTAATTTTCTGATTGCGCTCCCGAGTCGACTTACACAACGCTTCTCGTTTTTAGAACACTTCTGGTATGTTGACAAATCGACTGAGCATTGCGCAGCAGATCTACAATACACCTGCACATCGGGGAACTCTGCGAGAGCCTAGTCCATCGTTGGTTGAACTTCGAGCTTTCCTGCTGATCGTTTTGAATGCTTTGAAAAAGCGCCCAGAACGGCATGAGATGTGGTTCCAGTTCGTTGTTCAAATTCTGCCGTGGATGGAGAGGTACATCATTCCTGCCATTTTCTGAAATTCGTTTTGAAAAACTGTGTTGTTAAGATGTAAACCCTATTTATAGATCGCTAGCAACTGTTATGGTGCGAGTCGTTGAACAGCTTTGTAAGAATATCGAGACAGCTATAAGTGTGTGTTACCCGAATATCAAGGATACAGACAGCGCGCTGTCACCTGTTCCGGATAATGCATGTGATTATCCTGCCTGTTTCATCACAATGGTTGGTCTCAGATTTTCATTTGATTTTGCGATTCAAAAATGGTGTGTCCAAGTAGGTATGTGCTGAATAAAAATGAAATTTCAGACCTTGGAGACGATTACAACTTTGGTGCATTTTTGTGTCATCGATGCTCATGCTGCTGGCTCAACTATTCAAGCCACAACACCTAGTCCTGTGGCCCCAAGCAGCGGAGGTGGTGGTAGTGGCATGGTTGGGCAGGTAGTGGCTGGGCTATTATTTTGGAGAGGAGCGGAGGTTGGTTTTGAGAATTTTGATTGTAGCCATTGCATTTAGGCGATGGCTGTGATTCCTGGTACCAAAGGTGCTACTGAGCTGTTTTCCAATCTTGTCAAGGTGTTCAGCTTTAGCGATTCAACTTCGGTGCGAACGTAAAAATTTTCTTATCAGCTAATCTGTAGATTTAGTTGCGCATGCTGTTCCGCTTCCGTAGGTGCAACCAAAACGGGGCTTTCAAAATGATGAATTTATATTTCAACTGTTCTAGAATGGTGGCGTGAATCTTTCCAAAATGGACGGCTCTCGTGGTAGTATAGCTTTACGACAAGCTCGTAATGATATGCTCACATCACTTCCTCATGCTCTTGCTACTATTTGTGATTTATGGACTGTGGTGAGAAGCAAGGAGGAACCACGTCTGCCGTTAGGATCACCACAGGTTTGAATTAGCTTTCTTGATAAAGCTCACCGTTTTATTTTGTTTGTTTTTCTTACTTTGAAAATTCTGAATCTATCGAATCGTTTGTGCTATCTCCCTTTTCGAGGGAAGTAAACGTTGAACGCTATTAGCCATTTGGAGACGCCATTGGTGGAAGGATGTTTGAAGGCACCTTAAATACCTTCCAGGACGCGCTCTTAGTCCTGGCAGAACTCGAAGTTTGGCTGTGGCCAGCTAGTGTTAGACACAGGTGATACTCACATAGAGTTGCCCGCGTTGTGTCTTAGAGGAGGATGTATGCTCATATAACTCGCCCCCCCCCCCATCTACCCATCTTCGGATATGTAACTGTTTTGTAAAACGGCGGTGAAGAAACATGCATGCTAGCGCTGCATTTTTTCTAGCTAAAGTATGAGCGTTCCTTTTGGGTTGCGGCGACGAGTGCCACTCAGAAGATAGCGATGGGCAAAGGGGTAGCGCGTGGCTGCATACCTCTGTCATCCCCACCTATGCACTCTTCCATTACGCATAAGTGGTGATGACTTAAAGCAACAATCCAGGAACGAATTCGCGGGTAAGGACCACCTATAATGACGTTGCAGGTGAGAAGTTGGTCAATGGAGAAAGAAAAAGTAGAAAAAAACGTCGGGCAGGGGCTTAGACAGGGACTCCCCCTGCCGTTTAGGGAGACGTGTGTTGGACGAGTTGTCCGAACCTGCCCGTAGTACATGCGCTCCAATTGCAACTGCTGGCAAATAGCCATGCATGCTTGCAAATACATAACTATTTGCCAGCAATCGAAATTGAAGCGCTTCAATTGCGTTCTTATGGAATCGACCTCATACAGCGCGGCGGTCCCGCAACGACCGCTAGTCGAGCAGCGCTCTGCACAGCGTATGTTGAGCGATCCGCCTCCAAGAGGACTTCGACCCCTTCCAGCGCATTTTAGAGGTAGGTTTTGAACTTAAAGACATTTCCTATAAACTTTAGTTGGGCTGGGGCATGTTTTGACCGCCTAATGACCAAGTAGTTGAAACCCTGCCTGGACTGTTGCTTTAACTTGCCATACCCATAATTCAGCATCCCTGAAATTTTAGCGGTGCTTTTTGCTGCTTATATCAAATAGAAATTACTGATAGATAAGTGCTCATGCTCTTCTCGGGGTGTCCATCTGTGGACGGTGAGTGAGTGAAATGAAGGAGCAAGCAGTGTGAACTTCTGCGACTGACCGTGAGTGCACATGCTGCTTTCAGAGTCGAAGTTTCCTTCAATTTTTACCAAGGGTTAGGAACAGGGAGCGAACCGCCTGTAGCCTCACAAAATGACAAACGCTAACACCCCTGTCCCTTTTAATACTTGTTCTTTCCATATATTCAGTGGGTAGAGAGTGCAGTGGATATCTCGAAACTCCTATGTGTAATTGCTAGTAATAGAATTGTTTCAGCATCTTCGACGATTGATACTTGATCTGCTTTCACCCATAGCTCAACATCACCAGCAAGCTTTCCTCACAGCGCTTTCTCTGGTATGGCTGACTCGCTCTGGAGCAGGCGCTTCATCCTTAAAGAAGCTGGATCCAGATCAGGTCAGCGTTTCGAAGTTTTTGATGGGTAAAAGCACTTCGATTTTTGCTCAATCTCTTCTCGCAGGCTTCTCAAACAAACATCCAGTTTTCAGCGTGATAGTTCGCTATTGCAGCCTAGTTTCCACTATACACCTGTTCAACACGATATAGCAAACCTGCTGCTGAGTCTCAAAGTGATATCGTTTGAAGAGCTGATAGCAGCTGTTAATGAAACGCTAAAGGAAGTGGGAGTGAAAGCAACAAAGCTTGGAGCTGGTGAGAAGGTATGTAACCTTCATACTTTTTGTCGAACGAGATCAATCCCATTCTCTCATTTGCTACATTTTGCGTTTGTATTCCCGTTTTATGAGGCTATTTCGAGAGCGCTATAACTGCAAATAGGATCGAGTTGTAATTGAAACCATCTCTTCTGTACATTGCTGAAAAGCTACACCTTCATTTACGAGTACACTCGAATTCCAGTGAATATTTTCCCTTGAAGTAGAAGTCTTAATACCAATGCAGTTTTAAGTTAGTTGTGTAGTTGTAATGTGATTTTTTTGTCCAGTGCCGTCTGGTAGTAGTAGGGCAACGCAATTCAATGTGGTTTTCAAGAAATGTAACACTCAATCTTTCACTTTCAGGCAACGTTCCCCACTGAAGCACCTTTGCTTGAGCTGGTACACGGCTGCATAAAGGCATTACCAACAGCACAGCTGCGAGCGTGTTGGTCCCCTTTCCAATCATTGTTTGCTGATGCTCCACTTGCCAATTTGCCACCACGTGCAGTATTTCTTCTGTATATGTGAGTTGTGAATATGTCATGGTTACGCATTTTGAAATGAGACCCGTTTTTTCGCTCCATTGTGTTATAGAAGTTTCATTTTATTTTTTTTTATTTTATTATTTGGTTGTTGATTTCCGTGAAATATGTCGAAGGAGCAGTTGTTTAGAAAACCTTCTAGAGGATGATATTAATAATTTTTTTTTCAGAATCCTGTGCGACTATGTGCGATGTGCTGGTGCGTCTTATATCGTTGAAGATAAGACGATGTCCCGAGCTGTGCAAGATGCGGTTCAAAGGCTGACGGAAGCTGTAAATGCTATCGTTGGTTGGCAGCTGGAAACAACTACGTGGTTGAAAAGGACGCTCGTTGTCAAACACGACCAAGGTATCAGTAACCAAAAATTTAGATTTTCCTAACTTTGCTATTGAACAGAATTCCAATTCACATTGTGATTTCTACAGTGTTCTTGAAGCTGCTCTTACACTTCAACTACGCAAGTCTGTGAAATATGCTTCTTCAATACTAGAACCACTTCCATTATCGTTGTTTTCGTTATTGTAGATCTAGATAAAGTCTATTTTAGGCCCTCGTTCACAAGATGCTAGTCCCTCAGTGGAAACGAGCACGCCGCTGAATACTCCACTGCCTTCATTGAACCCATCAGAGCAAAACTCCATGCGTGGTTCGACGCTTTCGCTGATGACACGGTGTGTTGCATCTTTCCTCTCCCAAGAATTCGCTTATCAATTTCAATTAGTTTTCCTACTTAGACATGCACCATTAATCTTTCGCTGTAGTACATCTAGTATTCTGATTCTTCGTTGAGACCTATAGCTATTTGTTACTACAAGAGATGTTAAGACCTTCTTCGTTGGATACCGGTAGCAATATTGCTTCCCTCACTGAGAAGAAGAGCAGTTCCAACTTACGTGGCTCCGTGAAGGACAGTAACAACAACAAAAGAGATCCAGCTCATAGCACGCAGGCACTTTTTATACTGGCAGAGGTTAGTAAGAAACGAAATTCTGGAAGCGTTACCGATTTCTTAAAGGAGATTTTGTGATCATGATCTAAGCGTCGTTCCTCTAACCCATATTATTCCAGAATTTGGCCGAATTAGTAGATTCCGTGTGCAAGAGTGACGATAAAGAGCGCTTGTTACCTACGCTGCATGCCGTATGGGGGAATGTGGTTCCCTATTTGAAAGCAAAGAAGTGAGTTTCTTCTACCGCACCGTACCTTCATTCTCCAAATCATATTTTTAGTGCTCGCAATTCTCGGTTTTTCCTTGCATCTTCGCAACTTTTGGCTTCGATGAGCTCCTTCAGTTATATGCGTCCTGTTTGGAAGAAGACCACGCTAGAGTTGTTACTTGATTCATGTGAGCTTAGCGAAGCATTCTTTTCCGCATATCGTTGCAGTTATCGACCAATTCGTTCACTTTCATCGTTTTTTAGCATTCTTCAAAATGGATATGCAGTCTTTGAAGCAGTGGTTGATTGTGACAGATCATCTTATGACGCATGATAAGACCTCATTCAAGGACTTGCTGAGTAAGTATTTCATTCCCTTCATCTGCGAACAATAACAGTGAGGTCTTATAATATTTTCCTTTCTTTTGTTTTTGCGAAAAAATTATGAGAGTTTTCTATCAGCTGCCGCGTTTTCTTTTTTCTCATTTCTTCTCTTCTATTAGTCATTATATTACCTAAGCATTATTAAAAACAGGACAGTTTGGGAAGGCAGGCGATCTCCACGATCGTTCTTCCCATCTTCCTGTTTCCCTCCAAAGAGGAGTATGTAATATTTTTGTTCTGAAAATTCTATTTTTCTGAAAATCGAATCGTAGTGATATTTGTAACTGTTATTGTAATTGTAGTAAGCTTTCGTTAAAAATATGGCTCCTCAAATGTTGCGCGTTTCAGAAAGCATAGCCTACACACCGAATGCGTCGTTCAGCATCATGACATCAAAAGAGCAGGAGTACGAAGCGAGAGCTCAGGCGGTGAAGAGATTGGCATTTGTTGTTATGGGATCTGAGTTGGATCAGTATCAAGGACAAATGAACGATATTCAAGGTGAATTGGACGTCTCAGCTCTGCTGGTCTTGCGAGATTCAGTGCTTTGACGCATGTGTTACTTTTGTCGATTTCGAAGTCCTAAGCGCTGAAGCATGCCAATTCGCAGTACTGCTGAAGGAATTTGTTATTGCTTTCAGAGCGTTTGTCAGAAAATCTTCGAGTCTCACAGTCACCATCAATACGGTCGGCAGTGTTTCTATGTATTCGAGTACTTCTGTTACGTTTGCGGCCACCCAGTCTGGTCGGAATATGGCCCATTATGATTACTGAATTGGTAAGGTTATTCTCATTAAGGAATGACACTTCTATACTACTTGAATTATTTTTCTTTTGGTTCTTTTTGCTTTGGTTGAAATCCCTTCATGTTTTTTTTTGCTTTTTTGTAACAAAATGACGTTTTAATACTGCGGAGCTTCATTCAAGTCGTTTTTTGGACTGTTTCGGGGAGCATGGATTTTACAGGTGTTTTCTCTAACTCCCTTTCAATATCTGTTTCAGGTACATGTTCTGTTACAAATGGAGCAACAGCTGTGTGCAGAGGGAAATGGTATAGAGGATTCTTGGTGTGCGTAGAGATGACGCTTGATGCAACTCTATTTGCCGCGGTTAAAATGCTTGAGACACTGTGTACCCTGCCTGCTGGATATTTTGCACAGTTCCAAATGTTTGTCAAAGCTTTTACGTTACATTTTTGTTTGTTGTTGGAGCCCCGGCTCTTTCAAAATTATGCTTTTTGAAAAATTCAAATTCTTTGCAAAACAAATCAAGATGTTGGTAAAAACGCGAAAGCTGAACACGTTAAAGCAACCGGAAAGGCAGCATCATTGCTTTTCATAATTTTAGGGCGTTTTCTCTGCAGAGAGATATCACAAAAATTGACTCAGAAAGAATGCTTTTCTGTTCTAATTTAGTTACTATACGCAATCGACTTATTGCAGGTGCCATTGGGCTTTTCGCTGAATTCAGGTGGCCGAGTAAGACTTGGACATTGTTTTTCGTTGCGGGGACGAATAAATAACTTTACGAACTAAGGTTAGCCTATATTTGGTGTTTTCTTTTACGTGCAGTTGCTCTATACATGGTGTAACCTTCTTTCATCGTTTGATGGTTGGTAATTGCACTGAGGTCGATGCTTTGATTGTCATTTAAATGTAATGTGTTTCAGTTCGGCAAACTTACACCGGAGGAATTGGAGCACCTGTCGCCGTCGCTATGTGGAATGAAGATGTTAACAAGTTTTGAAGAACTGCGACCATTCTTTTATGCGCTCGCCACGCAAAGCAAAGCATTGCCAGGAATTCATCAGGTAAGGTTTTTCGTCAATCTGTGTGGTGCTATAAAAAAGTAATGCCGCTGCCACAATTGTGGTACGGGTAAGCAATTTTGAACTCAACCCGGATGGGTCAATAAAGCATTACATCTTTGGCGATGATGGAACTACTAAGTTGTGCATCGCGCATTCACTCTGGTCACCTTCTTTGTGACTTGCTATTGTGAGCTGGTTTGGATTTGCCGCTTGATATTGAAAACATTCCTCTGCTTCATTCATCCACCCATGAACATCGCTGTCCAAAAGCATCTTCCTGGCTTTTCAGCTCAAGGCAGATCACATTGGTGTGGCTCTTGCACACGAATGCGAATGTATTGGTGCAAAATGGGCCGGCAGTAAAGAAAAAAGGAAAAGAATCCGTCGAAAACGCTTAGGTTAAGGGCTCACTCACCTTCCTAATCGGCTGTGCTAAGGGAATGAGAGACTAAGCGCGGAGAGGAGAGTATGAGGCGAGAGAGCGCTACAGATGAGAGCGCCAGACAACAGCCTGATAAGAGAAAAAATCTGCAGCTTCCTTAAGGCCCAAGTGCTCTTGTCGGTTGGTTTCCGTTCACGGGAACGCCACATTTGTGATTGTCCACTAGAGGTCTATGTTACGAAGCGAGAGGAACGCGTTCAGCACGACCTCTGCTTGGGTTGTGCCTTTAAATATGTCTCAGTGAATCACCGAGAATGCGGCCTGCTTGGCTTAGGGCGAAGTACAGTCTAGCAAAGGCGAACTTCAGTCGTTAGGTACCCTTACACATAGCCAGCCATGACTGATGTAATATTTGCGCGAGGCAGTTGTCAGATGTTTGCTACCAATCGTTAACGGATCGTCCGATTGTTTTGCGATTTGGAGATTGTGAGTTGTGCACCAGTGCTTTTAGCAGTGCACTAACCATTCGGAGCGATGTGGCAGCAAATGATCGCTTCTTTGCGTCGCTGAAACCGTTGTCCTTTCGCCTCGAGCGAACGCGAATCAGCAGGTTGCAAAGTCTGACACCTGCCTAAGGAACACTTTAGCACTGATCATTCCTTTGGCATTTGAATTCACTAAAAATTTTGTGTCTTGTACAGTTCACAAAAATTTGTGGGACCAATGGACTCGAAGATTATTTCCCGAAATGACAGGAGAGCCTCACTGCTACACCACCACTTTGTTATATAACTCCTTTCTCACACCAGTCCGTAGTACCCATTCACGACGCACGCGTAGGTTTCGGGTTTTTGATCGCCGTGGAGACGAATGCGATTTTACGCGGCCTCACGCCTCTCACCAGTGACTTTTGGTAGGTAATGAATAAAAACATGACGAGTACAATCAACTTTGGATATATAATACTTAAAGATTTTAAAGGTATCGTAGCAGAATTTCATGTGTAGGGTAATGAAGGCGAAACTACCAGATTTTTGATTGCCAAGGATCATCAAGACCTTTTTTCTCAAATGTTCCAGCGGAAGACCACCACGGTGAATTACATTCTGTCTCTTAGGGGATAACTTACATTACTTTTTTATTTCACATGCAACGGGACGATAAGGAACAAAAGTACGGAATGAAGCGAGTTAGGTATCTAAATGCTTTAGTTAAAACCATGTGTCGTTCAGACTTACTATTACTAGTGGTGTGATTATTTCATTGATATTAAAGAATATCCAAAAATTACGATACAAACGCTCGAAAAGTAACAATTGGCTGGCAGTCGATATGGGCTGCCACCGCAATCGAAGTGTTGTTTAAATTCAGTCTTTTGAGCTCCTAGATGGATCAATGCAAAGGGCAATATTTGAAGTTTCCTAGCTCGAGAGTACGGGGCTGATGGGAGGGCTTTGACTCCTGTTGCGCGACGTTGCACAGTAATCTCGCCGGTCTCATTAGATGTCTAGCTGAGTACTACTTGAGCGTGCCAGTGTATTTCAATTTCAGTGTGTTCTTTTCAGAATTCTGGGAATGAATCGTCATTTCTCACCGGATCACTTTCATACAAAAACGCTGTAAATCGTTTGGAACATGCTCTCTGTGTGGATTTCGCTGAACATTGGCAGCTTTAGTGTTATGTTTTCAAAATCAGAACAGAAATCATAGATGCTGTGATGCTTATTAGTTTATCATTAAATACGAGTACATTTTTAATTTTTTGAGTGAAATAAAGCGCGCGCTTAGAGTAAGTTATACGAGGCGTCATTGATCATAGCTAGTCGATCGTCGAGACCCTGAGTGTTTTAGCATGTGTGTTTGGTTTTTCTTACTCCGGCAATCTCCTATTTTCGAAGTCAGCTAGTTTTGACGCTGTGCATCAAACTGTTTTTTCTTCTTTCTATTATGTTTACATTGGACCATGTAAGTAATCATTCAATATCATCTCTGATGTGTTTCCAGTATGTCCAACAATTGTGATGAGTACAGTAGCGTGTAGAAATACTTGTGAATTCCCATTCTAGATAGTCGAGTTTTTTTTTGTTCATGGTCGTTATGATCATACTAAATCGCCGGTCAAATGTTTTCTGTAGATATTTTTTCTTTCACTTTTTCTAGCTTCAGCTCTCCTCACGCCAGAATGATTCCTCTATGGCCTCGTTTATTTTTTCATATTTAGCGATTCGTTGTATATTATTCATTAATTAATAACTTGCGAGGCGTGTTTAGAAATTATGCGAGCTGTGCTGGTCGTTTACTTGACTTGCTCTCAAGGGATCTATAATTAAATATCTGTGAGCCAAATATCGATGTATTGATTAGGGTTTTTGTCTTGTATTGTTGTCCTGTCGCGAAGACTAGACTTAGCTACGTTTTTTAAGCTTGCGGTGATTAATCACAACGCGTATAATGTGATAATTGTTCTAACGAGAAATTCGGATGCTTGGGTGGAGCTGGTCGTATATAATTTCTGGTGTGGATGATGAGTCTGATTGATTTATTGCACTATGTTTCAAAGGTGCGTTTGTGGTACATAGCCAAGGATAGTGATGTCATGGGTTGCGATGTTTCTGTTTGGAGTTACTAATTTTCGCAGGTGAGGCGGAGGCAGGGGTGGTGGGGGTGTCCCAAGGAGTAGTTTTTTACGGCGCCCGCTTTAGTTTGTTATGTTAGATGGAGGCCTCCAGGTGTATGCACGCACTTTTTCCTATTATCCTGCGTGCTGTGGTTCTCTTTCCATTTGAATGCGCAGCCGGATCGCGTCTGTACCACCAAGAGGTCCAGTGTGTTGTTGTTCCTGATGCTGAGGAGCTGGCGTAAAGTTAGGATCGCGAAAAGGTTAGAGGGCTACTCAAACGGTTGATAGAACCCGTTATGGCATGCATCATTTTACGCCCAAGAATGGTTAGGAAAGCAGATGGCTGAGAAGTGGGCCAGCGACATCACCCACAGTCATGCACTCACCCGTCCGTAGAATAGGTCTTTTAGCCGAGAAATGATGCGTTGGAGAAATGCAAGGAGTGAAGGAAAGGAAATAGGAAGGAGCCGGTGAGTTTCATGAAATACGTAGAGAAGAGGAGCATCTGAGGTATCGACTTGGCCACTAAAGACAGGCGTGGAAAAAATTGCCAAGCTAAAAAAGGGGGAAGCTTTAGGCAGTGACATACTCGGCGAATTGCTATCGTGAGTCGCGAGTGCGATTTCGCACTGCCACTTGTGCGCAGTCATTGTTGTTATACATATACTTGCACTCTTGCACATACACATATCGCGCATACACCATATTGTGTGACTATTGGTTTTGAAACAGTCATCACATTAAGGGTGGCTGAGTATATTCATTGAGTCACGTTCACAGGTCGCGGAACTAACAAGCGACGGAGTGGCTGAAATAATGCGTCGAGTGGTGGCTTCTTCATGGTGAGTAGTCACGGGCTTTATAGCGAAGACAGTCTATTAAGTTCGTCTATGAAACGGAGTGTTCTATTTTGATTTTTTAAAAGAGAGTTTTCTTTCAATCGGTCGTCCGTTGTTGGTTATTTGGAATATTGTGAAATTGATATTTATGATTAGGAAGACAGGTTATGAGAGGCGATTTAGGATGGGAAGGTCGCGTGGGCGGGCCTTGGTTCTCTGAATAGACAGTTACATACTATTTTGGTTACTCCAGATATTTTCGCGTAGTCTGTTCTAGTTTTGCAGTTTTGTCTGTTCGCGCTGTTAACGTGCGGGAAAAGGTGGGTGGTGGAACAGTTGCTCACGGCAAGGGCCATGGCTGTAGTCACTGAGCGTTCGGCGTAGTTAAAGGCACGAGTCAGGCTTGATGGACCAAACCAATCCCTTTTGTCGTCTTTGTGCATGGCTGCGCACCCACAGAGACGTTACCATGCTCAGAATCCCAAACGGCGCCGTAATAAGGCTCCAGGGCACGTATTAAGCGCTTCGCCGCCTGGCGGCGCTCCGACCGCCCACCTCCGGAAGTGGTGCGTGGCTGGCATAACGTGTGAAATCAGCTAGGTTGATTGCCGTATCAACCGATAGAACGACTGACATCTCCAGAAAACTTGTTTGTACGTGCCTCTTTCCCCAAGCCAGCCTCCTTCACTGCTAGTGGGAAAGAGGGTTTTGTTAACGGCCTTGTCGACGGTTTTTCTCAGTTTTTCCACTGTCGTTCCACTTCGCATCTCTATACTCAGTTTCAATCGCCATAATACCCCCTTATTGAGCCCGACTTTTGCCTTTAAGGTTTGTTTCGTTTAACCAATATTAGAACTGGAAGATTCGCACCTTAGACTTTGCGGGAATGTCCGTCTTCGCGATACTGTGGAGTATATGACAGATGTCAAGCCCGGTGGGCCGGGTATAAGGAAGTGACTTAATGGCAGGTAGACAAGAAGAGCGGGAGAGGGGGCTCCCATAAGATTTTTGCGGTCCCAAAGGAAAATAAGAGTTACAAATCTTTCCCTTCAACGAGCGATTCAAGCGTTGGGAGAAAATGGAGTTGAAGGGGTCACTCTCTTGTGTTGTGCGGCTTTGTCAAGATGAGGGCTTTGATAACGTGAGAAAAGCGCTTCAAAAACATTCATTTATACTAGCTTCGAAGGTAACGACAAGTTGAGTCGGCCTGGAATGGCGCAGAAAAACGATCCTAACAAGGAGGGTCTTCCGGGGCAAGCCGCACTTTTTCTAAACGATTTGTCGCATATTGTAGGGAATTGTAGGGAACACAAAACCATGCTTCATTCGCTGAACGCGGATAGCAGTACCAAAAGGAAGCTAGGGACTGCTGATGTTCCCCCGTGGCGACTAAATTTTGCATTTGGGTTGGCGCCTACGGTTTGGTGCCAAATCGCGCTAAATATCAAAATCAGATGTCAAATTCATCGTCAGGACCATTTTGAAGCCAACAAGTGGCCGCCAACCTTGATTGCAAAATTTAGTCGCCGCGGGGGATTCGAACCATCAAGAGTATATTCACCACTTTTTTGGTACTACTAAAACCGTTCAGCGAAAACGAAACATGGTTTTGTGGTCCATACATGCGTCCCTACAATATGCAAAAACCGTTTCCAAAAAGCGCGGCTTGCCCTGAAAGACCTCCTTGTAAGACGAGAGCGGGATATTTTTGCCCAGGCCTAGGGGAAGGGGTAACGCAGGGAGGAGTCTACGGGGGCGGACCACTTAACATGTGCAATATGGGAAGGATCTCGATGATGTAGGACACTACACGTGTTTTTATCAATCAGCTTCTCGAGCAAGTTGTCAACGCTCTTGTTCTTACCGCTACAGATATCCTTATGGATAGCCGTCTTGATCTTGAACATTACAGTCGCACAGTAGAATGGAATGGCCCCTCCAACTCCATTTTCGCTGTATTTTGAACACGGAATGACATTCATATTACACTGGCGCCAGTTTGAGCTATTTGGGAGCCCAATGTTTTTCCACCAACTTCAGTAAAAGTCTGCATTTAGCTTGGCCCCTATCATTTTTGACTGACAATGGGGCTTGAGCGCTAGTCCATTACTGAAAGCTTTGACAAGTAGGAGGGCAGCCCCAAACGGTGCAAGAACCAAATGTCGCCATCAAGGACCGAATCATCCCTGTACGTAATTTTACAGCGACTGGTGAAAACAGGTGTTACACTAAATTGGCGCAAATTCCCGAAAATGGCAACAAATGACACTTTCACCAAAAATGATGACTTCATTATCAGGGCTCAAGGATCCCCTTCCGAAGGTAGCTTCGGGGATTTCTCCGGATTTCGAGTTGTGACTGTCATACTGTAGTCATTTGCCAATCCTCACCACTGTTAGAACAATCACAACAAAATTAAGAAAATGTGCCCTCGCATGTTTTATCGGTGATGGCTTGAGTGCCTTATGCGACGCTCTGTGCCCCGCCATTGCCGACCTTGGGCCTCCGAGGTATTGAAGAGGATGCATTCTCAGTGGTGCGCAGCTCTTTTGCGTCGGGAATGCATGCAGCGGGGGGCGCTGGCAGGTTTGAGTGCAGTGGCGGCTGTATGGGCAGGGGAAACGATTAGAGTGTGGGGCGTCGTGTCGGGTCTACCAGCAATGTTTCGCCCCCACGCTGGCCTCTCTCCGGCCTCCAACAGTGCCGCACACTCTCATGCGAACGGCCTGCTGGGGGGCCGCCGCCAGCCCTCATTGATTCCCCCCGTCTATTCCTCGTCCCCATACTGTCCAAGCTGCCTGCACTCGTTGCCAACTGTCATTACATGAATTTCCTACCGAGTCATAGTTTCGTCGATACTTCCTTGGCCTCTCACTCCCACAGGCCCTTTGGTGGCGTTCTGAAGCAGATCGCAGCTGTAGTATGATATTTTAGTGATCACGTGGTGCTAGAAGAACTAAATGGCGATGCGACTAGCAAAGAAACCATGGAATCATCTAGGATTATTTACGAGACAAGAGGCTGTCGAAGTAGGTTTCAGAAGTACTGTTTACGCCTTTACAGGTTTTGTTCTTTGATTTTGTTGCTATATTTTGTAGATCATTCCAATTCTTTAAAATATTTCTATCGATACTCACCATCAATTTCGGCCTTCAAGTGAATAACAGCTCTGCATATCTTTTTTTTTGCATCAAATCTTGACTTCTTCTTCCTCCCTCCTCTATGAAACTTATAAATGGAGTCACCTCAACGCTTATTTAAAGCAATTTATTAACTTCCTATCCCTTCTACACACTTTGACGACTTTACTGGTCGGTACTGAGCTAGGACTCCATTTTTCTCGAATGCCCCGTTACTATTATCTTCAAGATAATTTTGCTTTTTCTCTAGATGGTCTCCACTTGGCCAGTTTTCTTGGTCACAAAGGGTTAGAAATTGTTGCCTTGGTTTCCCTTCTAATTCTTGCTTAACAAACTTATTTAACCCTCTTGAAGCAAGTGTGGTGCCAAATCCTCCCGCTTTTGCGCCTTTCTAACGCCTTGCTTAGAGAGAGACAAAAATTTTTGTTTACTGTTGATGTCGGTTTTGTATTTCATTCGTGCCACTGCCTTTGCAGCGTTTCAAAGAAATCTAAATAACAGAAAAAAAAAAACTTAATCCAACAATTTACTGTAAGTTGGTCAGGTGGTTAACTAATGGCCTATGACTCCGATTAGATCCGCCATGGTGCAGGTAGTTCATGATATTTTATGAGGATGTTTCTCTGTTTGGACGAATCATGATATTCTTCATGACATCAGAAAGGCTCGAAATAATCGCGCGGCCTCGCTTTCCATTATCAGCACCTGCTTGAGCGCGACTGAATTTCCATCAAACACGAACGCTTTTCGGACTTAAGACTAAGCAAACCAGCCTTTTGCGCTGCGTGCTTCACAGTTTTTGGTGGCTTATTTGCTCGGAGGAGGGACGTCTCAACGGTAGACGGACCACTTCAACTCGGTCCTTGGAAACCACACAATTGTGCTTACCTCAGAACTAAGCCTTAAAGAGAGGACGGGTCCGTCCCCTCTCCAAGGCTTAGTCCTGGGGTGAGCAAACCAGCCCTTCTGGCGGAGCTGCTGGACCAGCTGCACCACTTGCGTCAGTACTCTCCTATCGTACCAACCGAGTTGAAGTAAACCGTCGACCGTTGGGGACCCCATCCCCTCCCCAACATTCAGCATACGGTCCCAGCCGAAACGCCAAAAGGGCTGGTTTGCTTACCTCCGAATTAGTCTGACGACGTCGTCCCCAAGTCTCCCTCGACGAGTTGATTTTTCAATTTGAAATGAACTAAATTTTTATTCAGATTCGTTGACCTTTTATAGGATGTTTCCCATGCGGAAATTGTTGTCATATCGATCTAATATCCGGCGCAATTACACCTTTTATGAACCCCCTTCTGAAAGTGAGGCTTGATATTTCTCGAATCTTCTCCCTAAGGGAAGATAGGGCTATAAATTTTGTTCTTGCATGGAGTTTGACCCAATTGCACACAAATGTCGCATAGTTTTGGTCGAAGTCTAACGCCAGAACGCTTGGGACCACAGAATTCGATTGAGCATTCCCCACTGAGGCATTACCTCTGGATGGAAAACCGCCTTTTAGAACACATCTTTGACGCGTGAGCTGTAGCGCTGGTGCGCGGAGCAAAAAACGAAGGTTGTAAATGGTGAGGGTTTTGGACCATGTATACCAGCAAAATGAGCATTTAGTTACAGAATAAGAAAGATTATGCTGACAAGGTCATTTCAAACGGAAACTGTAAAAAAAGATAGCGGAGAGAAAAAGAGGGCTCCTTTAAAGGAACGAGGCTTAATCAGGTGTTGAAGAAAAGCGCTATGCTCTGCATAGATATTCGCCGACGATATGAGTTCCAAAACGCGGAACTTTCGCTCTGAGGGATAAAAAATTTTTCAACTTCATAGGTATGAAAGGCGTAGGTGGAGCTGGTCCTGAACGATGATCCTAAAATAATGATGGTGTCAGACGAAGATCTATGGGACCTTACGTTAGCTGCAACAAGGGGGAACGATTGCCAATCACTGCGCTTGGACATATTTGGGGTCGAGCGCGACCCTTTCTGGCTCAAAATTCTTCTTGATATGTCCCCCACCCCATTTTCCCCTTCAGTTTTCTTCTGGTAGTTTCAAATCAGGAATTACCACTATATTATACACTGACTTGTATTATACTCCCATTTACAAACTCTTCAACTCTGAAAACCTCAATGAGTTTCGGGATGGTGGGGGGGGGGGGGCGGGGGAGGGGAGGTGAAAGAGGAAGTCAGTGGATCGTGCCATTTAAACCGCTGCATCACTTCGTCGGTCTATAAGTCTGTCGGGCTGCTAGTCGGAGTGTTCGTCCGCGAAACTCCTCTCATATTAGAGGGTATGATAAGGGAGTTAGAGTAAACCAAGAGGGTGTTGACTAATGAAATCTTACATTCGCTATGCGGTTATCCACCTACCCACACCTCTAACCATTCCACAATGTATGAGGGCCTGAGGGTGAGCTAAGTGACAGGAGAAGCGAATCGTCAACAAAACTGGAAGCCAAGCCAGCGTAGAACTATCAAAATGATGATATCATGTTCTGATATGGTGATGTCAGCTTCCTTTTTTGAACCATCCATCTTCCAAATCTTTATGTTCTAATCAATATACTGCCAAAGAGAGAAAATACTGAAATTCTCTGCTCTTCGTGGTTATTCTCACTTATTAGAGCAGGTCTTATTCCATAATGCAATTTCTATACCCTACGACTCGAAATCAGAAAATGGAGTTAAGCCCTTCTGGTGAAAATCAGGCAAGTAAGTAGTTAGGACAAAGCTTACCCGCTTCAGATGGGAGGCACGTTCCCACCTAGCTGTTCAACTCATTTTGGACGTAAACAATTGTGGAAAATCAGATGATCGGAACACTTGCTTTGACTGATGTACTAGATGATGAAGGTTCAAGAAAGAAACGCTTTTCTAGAATCCCTAGCCTGCTTCCGGGTTAGTAGTGGTCAAGCATTCCTCGTTGATAGCGTCATTTTTGCGCTCGAGAGGGAGGGGAGTGGTCGTAGGACCGTATTTGAGCAATATATGTGAGCCCCTACCTAGCGCTATTAAGTGTGTGAAGCAAGCCAACAATCATTTAGAACCCGCCTAGTCCCTTGAATAGTTGTGGCAGTCCGCTTTTTTTGAACCGCCCATCAGAAAATGCTGCTACTTTTTGATTTGGTTTTTATTGATTAGAACGTTTGATTGTCTATCCCCTTGTCGCTGTATTGTGACAATGTCTTGCAGCTGCTTTTTGTTGACATGAACCCAGCAATAAATGCATCGAAGCGATTTAGTTCGCACAGTTCTTCCGGCCACACCACCTCAGGCCTATTTCGGGGAGAACGGGTTTTTTAAGGGCTTCATTGGCGTTTGTTTTGTTTCCTTTGTCATTTTTGGTCAACTCGGCATTTATAATACAACTTTATTATCGACCGCTACTACTCCGCCCTTTCCATCTGGTTGTGATCTTAATGTGCAACTTTTATTTTCTCTTCTTTAAATATTCACTACCATATAGTTGCGGTCTATGTAGAAGGGGTCGGTTCCACTGGTGCTTCTACGTATTACTGGTGATTGAATTACGTCTAGAAATAGTTGCTCGTGCTACTTCGTGCTAATCTTGTGCTCTAGATTCGTTAATGCATTACGGTATAACAATAGTTGCTCGTGGCTCTTCTCACTCATTTCCCCCCGATCAAGCCTGAAAGAAGTCGTAGTCAGAAAAGTCCGGCAATGCTTTAGCTAGTAACATTTTTGCTTCTGCTGACCATTAGACTTGTAATTAGACCGACGTCATAGTCGGCGACGGACCAAGCGATGGAGCGATCGCGATCGCTCCATCGCTTGTCCGTCGCTCTCGGTCGAGCGATTGGCAAGCAATGTGCACAAGCGACGGCAAAGTGCACAAGCGATACTTGCAGCCAGACTGCATTGGAACATGGGGGCGGGGCCGACGCCCGTCGCTTGGCACAATTGCACGCGATTGCGCATCGCCCGACTATGATGTCCGTCTTACTGTTCACAGGGTTATGCTATACGAAGTTATTACGGATCCTAATCTTTGTAAACTGATTCGTATTATATATTTGTCCACGTACGGTGGATTGAGCGTACTCTTTTGAAGAAGCGGAGTGTCAGCACTTCAGCAGGATACTGTAATGTCTGTAGCAAATATTGTAAATTTTTGCAGGGCTTGGCAGAGCGATTTACGGAATCGCCTTCTCTTGTCTTCTGAAGCAGATCCTTCTGATTCAGAGCAAGGTGTTTCTACGTGTGTCGCTCCTGGTGGAGATATCCCAAAACTCGATGATGAACACAGTAAATTGTGATAATTAATTTGGAGTGGTCATTTAGAATCATTGTTTGGAATTCATTCATTAATACGTTAAACTCACTGTAAAGGATGCTCTGGACACGCTTTCAATCTCCATGGATGGTGTTGAAGCTGGCGTTGTGGAAACGCTACAGTACCTGATTGACTGTGTTGTGGAGGAGGAAGACAGCGAACTCGATCATCAGCACCGACTAGAATCTGCTCTGGCCAATGCTCCTCCAGAGGGAGGAGCTGTGATCTTTAGGTAAGGTCCAGCTGATTGTTTTTCTTCTGAGTTTCACTTTTTGAGCAACAAAACTCGCAGCGAAGTTTTTTCTAAGACCCTCTTACAACAAATACTCCATCGCTTTCGAGGAGAAAAATGAGCAATTTTCTGAATGCAGCTTTTGTTACTATACTACATAATGAAACAGATCACCTCAATTAAAGAGGAGTTAGTCTCCTTGATTACGTTTGCACTAGAGCGATGTTATGCTGCGCATACTTGTATCCACGATTTGGAATTTTTTTAGAGCTGATGAGGAGTCTGAGGCGGAGCGGTCTTCCTCAATATCCGCAAGCACAGCACGGCCTCGGCATGAAAGCGGCGAGCGACCGGCACCGATCGTCAGTGATCCAGTCGCCCGGTAAGGAAAGTTACTGTAGATCATTCCTACTGAGGTCAGAAACCTGTTCTTATTCGGGGAATTTTCCATAGTTGTTTATGTAACTTTTTACGTTGTTGTGCCTCTTGTTTGATATCAATAATTTCTAGGTTCAAGAAGGGGCATCGTCGAAGATTCTCAGGAGAGCATTATTCCAGGCATGACAGAAAAAGGATATCAAGTTGTAGTATTAAATGATGTCATCTTACGCTTACAGAAACTAGTTCGTAGTGTGTCAGCTCACAGCGGGTAGTCCATAGTGATAAGCTTAATTCAGAACTTTCGATACAACTGAGCTTCTTACGACCGTCAGTGGAAGGTGGTGTAGACGGAGTCAGTCTTTTCCACGAGTTGCATGTTCACATGCTGTTGTACGGGGAAAGTGGACGTGTTGTGATTTGGGCCGAGCCGAAACGGCCTTACGTATACTAACTGCCTTGTTATGTCCCAGAGGTTCTCCTGTAACGAATCGTATGCTTTTGAGGTAATACTGATTTTCTTAGTCAGGCCAATTTGGTTTTGATTTTTTTTTTTTAGTTGCTTAGTCTCTTCTGGAACTGCCTCTCAGAATGGAGAAAGCATTGGTACTAGTTCCACATTGACAGTGTCACTAGTTGATTTGATGGCGAAGCACGTTCGAGCCATACTCGGACAACATTTCTGGGGTGTCACTGGCGAAGAAGATGTCTCCAAACAACGGCATCTCACGCTGTTAGAGCTTCTGATCACGGTAGAGGTTTTTCACTACTTCGCTATTTCTGGGAGATCATTTCTCAATGCTTGCAGATCTCGCTGCACTTCCTGCGATCATTCTTCTTGAACTCACCGATCTGTCCTGTCACCCAGTCGGATTTGGTGATGGCCTGGAAGTGCAAAGTAAGTTGTGAAAGATATTCTTGAAATAATTTTGTCGGCAAAGGGGAAACTATCAGTTTTTTCCCTCTGTATTTTCGGCCTTCATTGTTTTAATTTTCAGATAGCAGCGCTTGACTTCTTGTCAGAACTACTGGGAGAGCTTAGTGGTATGATTTGTGAGCAGCAATCGCGACCATTTGTTACGTTCGTTCAATCTGTTCTGTCAAGATCGAATCGTATAACTTCGTATAACATCTCGCTGCTCACGGCGGTTCACGATCCAAGGACCAGTGCAGAAGCAGGACAAGTGTAAGTGGTGTTATCAGTTGCTACTTATGTAGTATTGTATTATTCATATCCATATTTTAATGGGTTCAAGAAATATTTTTATGTTTAAGAATGCCTCTGTCTGTGTCGATTGCTGAGTTCAACGAAGGTGGATCATCCAACATGGGAAGCAAATTAGCAGGGCTTTTGTCAGCATACAATCGCTCACTGTTAGGTGTTACTGCCCAAGCGATTCGTCTTGAGAGCGACATCAAGAATGGATACTCCTCATTTGGAGACGTGGTATTGTTTCATTTTTATGGTAACTTTTATCCTCTTAAATGCTATGCCGGCTTATTTTTTTCCTTGTTGCAGTACATTATTTCACATTTTTTCTATAACTAGAGTGTTTCATTTTTTTGGTACGAAGATTTGCTCTTATGATTAGTCCTTGTCAAAAGCTTCCAGGAGAGGTGAAGCTAGAGGTGCGGGCTCGATTCCAGCCGGAGGGGGGGGGGGTGGCGAAACTTTTGCTCATAGCTCAGCATTCTTATGAAACATTTACAACAGAACCGGGGTGTAAAACACAGATAAATAACAAACAAAACTGATCAAAAATTATAATTTTAGCAGTTTAATTTTCTGATGCGCTCCCGAGTCGACTTACACAACGCTTCTCGTTTTTAGAACACTTCTGGTATGTTGACAAATCGACTGAGCATTGCGCAGCAGATCTACAATACACCTGCACATCGGGGAACTCTGCGAGAGCCTAGTCCATCGTTGGTTGAACTTCGAGCTTTCCTGCTGATCGTTTTGAATGCTTTGAAAAAGCGCCCAGAACGGCATGAGATGTGGTTCCAGTTCGTTGTTCAAATTCTGCCGTGGATGGAGAGGTACATCATCCTGCCATTTTGAAAATGCGTTTTGAAAAACTGTGTTGTTAAGATGTAAACCCTATTTATAGATCGCTAGCAACTGTTATGGTGCGAGTCGTTGAACAGCTTTGTAAGAATATCGAGACAGCTATAAGTGTGTGTTACCCGAATATCAAGGATACAGACAGCGCGCTGTCACCTGTTCCGGATAATGCATGTGATTATCCTGCCTGTTTCACACTTATGGTTGGTTTCTCAGGTTCTTCATTTGAATTTTGCGATTCAAAATGGTGTGTCCAAGTAGGTATGTGCTGAATAAAAATGAAATTTCAGACCTTGGAGACGATTACAACTTTGGTGCATTTTTGTGTCATCGATGCTCATGCTGCTGGCTCAACTATTCAAGCCACAACACCTAGTCCTGTGCCCAAGCAGCGGAGGTGGTGGTAGTGGCATGGTTGGGCAGGTAGTGGCTGGGCTATTATTTTGGAGAGGAGCGGAGGTTGGTTTTGAGAATTTTGATTGTAGCCATTGCATTTAGGCGATGGCTGTGATTCCTGGTACCAAAGGTGCTACTGAGCTGTTTTCCAATCTTGTCAAGGTGTTCAGCTTTAGCGATTCAACTTCGGTGCGAACGTAAAAATTTTCTTATCAGCTAATCTGTAGATTTAGTTGCGCATGCTGTTCCGCTTCCGTAGGTGCAACCAAAACGGGGCTTTCAAAATGATGAATTTATATTTCAACTGTTCTAGAATGGTGGCGTGAATCTTTCCAAAATGGACGGCTCTCGTGGTAGTATAGCTTTACGACAAGCTCGTAATGATATGCTCACATCACTTCCTCATGCTCTTGCTACTATTTGTGATTTATGGACTGTGGTGAGAAGCAAGGAGGAACCACGTCTGCCGTTAGGATCACCACAGGTTTGAATTAGCTTTCTTGATAACGCTACCGTTTTATTTTGTTTGTTTTTCTTACTTTGAAAATTCTGAATCTATCGAATCGTTTGTGCTATCTCCCTTTTCGAGGGAAGTAAACGTTGAACGCTATTAGCCATTTGGAGACGCCATTGGTGGAAGGATGTTTGAAGGCACCTTAAATACCTTCCAGGACGCGCTCTTAGTCCTGGCAGAACTCGAAGTTTGGCTGTGGCCAGCTAGTGTTAGACACAGGTGATACTCACATAGAGTTGCCCGCGTTGTGTCTTAGAGGAGGATGTATGCTCATATAAACTCGCCCCCCCCCCATCTACCCATCTTCGGATATGTAACTGTTTTGTAAAACGGCGGTGAAGAAACATGCATGCTAGCGCTGCATTTTTTCTAGCTAAAGTATGAGCGTTCCTTTTGGGTACTCAGAAGATAGCGATGGGCAAAGGGGTAGCGCGTGGCTGCATACCTCTGTCATCCCCACCTATGCACTCTTCCATTACGCATAAGTGGTGATGACTTAAAGCAACAATCCAGGAACGAATTCGCGGGTAAGGACCACCTATAATGACGTTGCAGGTGAGAAGTTGGTCAATGGAGAAAGAAAAAGTAGAAAAAACGTCGGGCAGGGGCTTAGACAGGGACTCCCCCTGCCGTTTAGGGAGACGTGTGTTGGACGAGTTGTCCGAACCTGCCCGCAGTACATGCGCTCCAATTGCAACTGGTGGCAAATAGCCATGCATTCTTGCAAATACATGCATTTTCTTGCAAATACATGGCTATTTGCCAGCAATCGTAATTGAAGCGCTTCAGTTGCGTTCTTATAGAATCGACCTCATACAGCGCGGCGGTCCCGCAACGACCGCTAGTCGAGCACGCGCTCTGCACAGCGTATGTTGAGCGATCCGCCTCGGTATGGGTGATCCGCCCCCTCCAAGAGGACTTCGACCCCTTCCAGCGCATTTTAGAGGTAGGTTTTTGAACTTAAAGACATTTCCTATAAACTTTAGTTGGGCTGGGGCATGTTTTGACCGCCTAATGACCAAGTAGTTGAAACCCTGCCTGGACTGTTGCTTTAACTGACATAACCCATAAATTCAGCATCCCTCTGAAATTTTAGCTGTGCTTTTTGCTGCTTATATCAAATAGAAATTACTGATAGATAAGTGCTCTGCTCATGCTCTTCTCGGGGTGTCCATCTGTGGACGGTGAGTGAGTGAAATGAAGGAGCAAGCAGTGTGAACTTCTGCGACTGACCGTGAGTGCACATGCTGCTTTCAGAGTCGAAGTTTCCTTCAATTTTTACCAAGGGTTAGGGCATAGGGAGCGAATCTCCTGTAGCTCAACAAAATGAAAACGCTAACACCCTGTCCGCTTTTCTAATACTTGTTCTTTCCATATATTCAGTGGGTAGAGAGTGCAGTGGATATCTCGAAACTCCTATGTGTAATTGCTAGTAATAGAATTGTTTCAGCATCTTCGACGATTGATACTTGATCTGCTTTTCACCCATAGCTCAACATCACCAACAAGCTTTCCTCACAGCGCTTTCTCTGGTATGGCTGACTCGCTCTGGAGCAGGCGCTTCATCCTTAAAGAAACTGGATCCAGATCAGGTCAGGGTTTCGAAGTTTTTGATGGGTAAAGCACTTCGATTTTTGCTCAATCTCTTCTCGCAGGCTTCTCAAACAAACATCCAGTTTTCAGCGTGATAGTTCGCTATTGCAGCCTAGTTTCCACTATACACCTGTTCAACACGATATAGCAAACCTGCTGCTGAGTCTCAAAGTGATATCGTTTGAAGAGCTGATAGCAGCTGTTAATGAAACGCTAAAGGAAGTAGGAGTGAAAGCAACAAAGCTTGGAGCTGGTGAGAAGGTATGTAACCTTCATACTTTTTTGTCGAACGAGATCAATCCCATTCTCTCATTTGCTACATTTTGCGTTTGTATTCCCGATATATGAGACTATTTCGAGAGCGCTATAACTGCAAATAGGATCGAGTTGTAATTGAAACGCATCTTCCTCTTCTGTACATTGTTGGAAGGCTCACACTTCGTTCACGAGTACAACTGAATTCCTTAGTGATTATTTTTCACCTTGAATAAAGCTCTACCAATCGTTTTAAGTAGATTGTGTTGTTGAATGTGATTTTCTTGTCCAGTGCCGTCTGGTAGTAGTAGGGCAACGCAATTCAATGTGGTTTTCAAGGAATGTAACACTTCAATCTTTCACTTTCAGGCAACGTTCCCCACTGAAGCACCTTTGCTTGAGCTGGTACACGGCTGCATAAAGGCATTACCAACAGCACAGCTGCGAGCGTGTTGGTCCCCTTTCCAATCATTGTTTGCTGATGCTCCACTTGCAATTTGCTCACCACCACGTGCAGTATTTCTTCTGTATATGTGAGTTGTGAATATGTCATGGTTACGCATTTTGAAATGAGACCCGTTTTTTCGCTCCATTGTGTTATAGAAGTTTCATTTTATTTTTTTTTTTAATCTTATTATTTGGTTGTTGATTTCCGTGAAATATGTCGAAGGAGCAGTGTTTAGAAAACCTTCTAGAGAATGATATCAATATTTTTTTTCAGAAATCTGTGCGACTATGTGGCGATGTGCTGGTGCGTCTCTTATATCGTTGAAGATAAGACGATGTCCCGAGCTGTGCAAGATGCGGTTCAAAGGCTGACGGAAGCTGTAAATGCTATCGTTGGTTGGCAGCTGGAAACAACTACGTGGTTGAAAAGGACGCTCGTTGTCAAACACGATCAAGGTATCAGCAACCCATCATATATTTTTCCTAACTTTCCGCTATTAACAGAATTCCAATTCACATTGTCGTTTTTAAACAATGTCTTTAACGCTGCTTTTTACATTTTCCTGCTTAAGACTGGGAGATTTGTGCTGTCTTTTGTCGTGCACCAGCTTTCATTATTGATATGACGAATCTCGGGATATGCTATTTTGGAGGGTCCTGTTCACAAGATGCTAGTCCCTCAGTGGAAACGAGCACGCCGCTGAATACTCCACTGCCTTCATTGAACCCATCAGAGCAAAACTCCATGCGTGGTTCGACGCTTTCGCTGATGACACGGTGTGTTGCATCTTTCCTCTCCCAAGAATTCGCTTATCAATTTCAATTAATTTTCCTACTTAGACATGCACCATTAATCTTTCGCTGTAGTACATCTAGTATTCTGATTCTTCGTTGAGACCTATAGCTATTTGTTACTACAAGAGATGTTAAGACCTTCTTCGTTGGATACCGGTAGCAATATTGCTTCCCTCACTGAGAAGAAGAGCAGTTCCAAACTTACGTGGTTCCGTGAAGGACAGCAACAACAACAAAAGAGATCCAGCTCCATAGCACGCAGGCACTTTTTATACTGGCAGAGGTTAGTAAGAAACGAAATTCCGGAACGTTACCGATTTCTTAAAGGAGATTTTGTGATCATGATCTAAGCGTCGTTCCTCTAACCCATATTATTCCAGAATTTGGCCGAATTAGTAGATTCCGTGTGCAAGAGTGACGATAAAGAGCGCTTGTTACCTACGCTGCATGCCGTATGGGGGAATGTGGTTCCCTATTTGAAAGCAAAGAAGTGAGTTTCTTCTACCGCACCGTACCTTCATTCTCCAAATCATATTTTTAGTGCTCGCAATTCTCGGTTTTTCCTTGCATCTTCGCAACTTTTGGCTTCGATGAGCTCCTTCAGTTATATGCGTCCTGTTTGGAAGAAGACCACGCTAGAGTTGTTACTTGATTCATGTGAGCTTAGCGAAGCATTCTTTTCCGCATATCGTTGCAGTTATCGACCAATTCGTTCACTTTCATCGTTTTTTAGCATTCTTCAAAATGGATATGCAGTCTTTGAAGCAGTGGTTGATTGTGAACAGATCATCTTATGACGCATGATAAGACCTCATTCAAGGACTTGCTGAGTAAGTATTTCATTCCCTTCATCTTGCGAACAATAACAGTGAGGTCTTATATAATATTTTCCTTTCTTTTGTTTTTGCGAAAAAATTATGAGAGTTTTCTATCAGCTGCCGCGTTTTCTTTTTTCTCATTTCTTCTCTTCTATTAGTCATTATATTACCTAAGCATTATTAAAAAAGGACAGTTTGGGAGGCAGGCGATCTCCACGATCGTTCTTCCCATCTTCCTGTTTCCCTCCAAAGAGGAGTATGTAATATTTTTGTTCTGAAAATTCTATTTTTCTGAAAATCGAATCGTAGTGATATTTGTAATTGTTATTGAAATTGTAGTAAGCTTTCGTTAGCAAATATGGCTCCTCAAATGTTGCGCGTTTCAGAAAGCATAGCCTACACACCGAATGCGTCGTTCAGCATCATGACATCAAAAGAGCAGGAGTACGAAGCGAGAGCTCAGGCGGTGAAGAGATTGGCATTTGTTGTTATGGGATCTGAGTTGGATCAGTATCACGGACATGAACCAGTATTCAAGTGATTGGACGTCTCGCTCCGCTGGTCTTGCGCAGATCATGTGCTTTCGACAAATGTGTTACTTTGTCGATTTCGAAGTCCTAAGCGCTGAAGCATGCCAATTCGCAGTACTGCTGAAGGATTTTGTTTATTGCTTTCAGAGCGTTTGTCAGAAAATCTTCGAGTCTCACAGTCACCATCAATACGGTCGGCAGTGTTTCTATGTATTCGAGTACTTCTGTTACGTTTGCGGCCACCCAGTCTGGTCGGATATGGCCCATTATCTCACTGAATTGGTAAGCGTCTATTCTCATTAAGAATTACACTTCTATAGCTACTTGCTTATTTTCTTTTTTGTTTCTTTGCTTGGTTGAACCCGCCACATGTTTTTGTATGCCTTTTTGTTATTCTTCCATTTGTAATAAAATGACATCTGAATACTGCCAGAGCTTCATTCACGTCGCTTCTTGGGCTATTTGGGAGGGCATGCATTTTACAGGCGTTTCCTCACTTCATTTTGATATCTTGTTTCAGGTCCATGTTCTTTTACAAATGGAGCAACAGCTGTGCGCAGAGGGAAATGGTATAGAGGATCTTGGCTGTGCTAGAGATGACGCTTGGATGCAGCTCTATTTGGCCGCTTGTAAAATGCTTGAGACACTGTGTACCCTGCCTGCCGGATATTTTGCACAGTTCCAAATGTTTGTGAAAGCATTTACGTTAATTTTTGTTTGTTGTTGGAGCCTCGACTCTTTCAAAATTATGCCTTTTGAAAAATTGAATTCTTGCAACGTATCAGATGTTTGGCTACAACGACACGTTCAAGCAACCGGAAAGGCAGCATCATTGCTTTTCATAATTTTAGGCGTTTTTTCTGCGGAGAGATATCACAAAAATTGACTCAAAAAGAATGCTTTTCTGTTCTCGATTTAGTTACTATACGCAATCGGTATATTGTTGGCAGGTGCCATTGGGCTTTCGTGAATTCGGTGCCCGATAAGACTGACATGTTTTAAAGGTTGCGGCGCGAATTAAATTACACTATACGAACTAAGTTAGCCTCTATTATTTTGGTGTTTTCTTTTAGTGCAAGTTGCTCCATACATGATGTAACGCTCCTTTTCACAATCGGTTTGATTGGAATTGGTAATTGCCTGTCAGCGTCCGGATGCTAAATTGATTATCATTTCAAATGTAATGTGTTTCAGTTCGGCAAACTTACACCGGAGGAATTGGAGCACCTGTCGCCGTCGCTATGTGGAATGAAGATGTTAACAAGTTTTGAAGAACTGCGACCATTCTTTTATGCGCTCGCCACGCAAAGCAAAGCATTGCCAGGAATTCATCAGGTAAGGTTTTTCGTCAATCTGTGTGGTGCTATAAAACAAGTAAGGCCTCTGCCACAATTGTGGTACGGGTAAGCAATTTTGAACTCAACCCGGGTGGGTCAATAAAGTATTATATCTCTTCGAGATGATGGAAACACTAAGTTTCGTTCATTCAGTCTGGCACCATTCGTTGTGACTTGCTCGACTATTGAAAACACTCCTCCTGCTATTCATTCATCCATGCATTGCACATGCCTCCAATAAGCATCTCTCGGCTTTCAAGCTCAAAAGCAGGATCACATTGGTGTGGCTCTTGCACGCGAATGCGAATGTATTGGTGCGAAGTGGGTCGCCAGTAAAGAAAAAGATGAGGGGAAATCCGTCAAAAACCATGGTTAAGGTGCACTCACTATTCGTCATGCCTGACGCACAGGGAATGTAAACTAAGTCAGGCAGAGAGGGAGTATGAGGGAGAGAGCGCAGACAGAGATAAGAATGGTGGCCAGATCATAAAGCTGCTAAGGGAGAATAAATCAAACAGCCTGCTTGCAAGCCCAACTCTTGTCGGATGGTTTGCTTTCACGGGAAGCTACATTTCTGTTGTCCACCAAGGTTATTCCAGGTCATATGCTGAGGGGGTTTTGCTCTGATGTAATCGCTGATGGGGTGGATTTCATTACCTGATTTGCGATAGCAGCATCCAGAACACGGCGCGGTACAGCCTCAGAGGCCCATGCGCGGACAAGAAGACAGAGTCGGGGAAGATGCAATGGATTCTATTTCAACTTGAGGATTTTCTAAATATGCGGCGCGATCCGTCGCTGACCCTCAACTTTCCGCGCGAGCGGGTCTGCTGGGGGTATCAAGAAGGTTGATGTTCACGACGGGCTTCGTCGCGCATATTAGCGAAATCGCGTCGGTATGGTTGGTTAACTCAGTGTTACTTGAACTTGCTATCATATTCAACTTAAATATATTCTTTTCAGAATTCTGGGAACGAATCGTCATTTCTCACCGGATCACTTTCATACAAAAACGCTGTAAATCGTTTGGAAGCACTCTGTGTGGATTTCGCTGAACATTGGCAGCTTTAGTGTGATGTTTTCAAAATCAGAACAGAAATCATAGATGCTGTGATGCTTATTAGTTTATCATTAAATACGAGTACATTTTTAATTTTTTGAGTAAAATAAAGCGCGCGCTTAGAGTAAGTTATACGAGGCGTCATTGATCATAGCTAGTCGATCGTTGAGACCCTGAGTGTTTTAGCATGTGTGTTTGGTTTTTCTTACTCCGCATCTCCTATTTTGAAGTCAGCTAGTTTTGATGTGATCAACTAGTTTTTTTCTGCTTTCCTATTTGTACATTGACCAGTAAGTAATCATCAATATCATATCTCTGATGTGTTTCCAGTATGTCCAACAATTGTGATGAGTACAGTAGCGTGTAGAAATACTTGTGAATTCCATTGAATAGTCGAGTTTTTTTTTGTTCGTGGTCGTTATGATCATACTAAATCGCCGGTCAAATGTTCTGTAGATATTTTTTCTTTCACTTTTTCTAGCTTCAGCTCTTCTCACGCCAGAATGATTCCTCTATGGCCTCTTTATTTTTCATAATAGCGATTCTTTTTGTATATTATTCTCATTAATAACTTGCGAGGCGTGTTTAGAAATTATGCGAGCTGTGCTGGTCGTTTACTTGACTTGCTCTCAAGGGATCTATAATTAAATATCTGTGAGCCAAATATCGATGTATTGATTAGGGTTTTTGTCTTGTATTGTTGTCCTGTCGCGAAGACTAGACTTAGCTACGTTTTTTAAGCTTGCGGTGATTAATCACAACGCGTATAATGTGATAATTGTTCTAACGAGAAATTCGTGTCGTATAAATTTCTTTGAGTGATGAGTCTATTATTATACACAAGTCTTGGTCATAGCCTAAAGAGAATGTCATCGGCGATGTTTGTGGATATTCATGAAATCCCATTTGACCACCGGGCGAGGGCCGCAAACAGTTTTGCAGTCATCCGAGCCAGCTTTCGCTTGTCAAATCAGGAGGACCTTTCGTGCGTAAAACATACCTATTCCTTTTGTCCCGCTCCTGGTTTTGGTCTTCTTTGCACTAAAATGTCTGTGTTTCATGTGTAATTGGTCCTGATGCTAAGGAGCTAACCTTAAGTTAGGG